ATTTCAAAATTAACGAACTTGTTAAATTATTTCAATATTCAGGTGTTAATTTCAATTAAATATATATAATATATAATTAATTATCCCTGCCCCACCCCACATGGCCACCCCCACCCCACCGCGAAGAATTCAGCAGCAGAGATAGATTTTCATATAGCTAAGGTGTGTGTGTGAGAAAGAAAGGAAAAACTCGCAAGAGCTTGCTCACGTCATATTTTAGGTGTTCTAGTTTTGTATAGGTTTTGTGAGAGAGGGAAAATTATTGTATTGTGAGGTTTCTCAGCTAATAAAGTTTTCTCGTGTTGGTCGTTGATTTTTGGCATCTCTTCTCTTCTGGCTCATCTTTACATTTTCCGTATTTGCTGTGCATATTTTTTCCCAACAATATTTTGTGTTTTGGTTTAGTTAAAAATCTGATTAAAATAAAGTCAAAATCCACAATTAACTTTAATCACAACATATTTCATGGAATCCACAACTTTTCAACCACATATTCCATTAACTTATATCAAAATAAAAGGTTGAGGATGCAATGCAACGTTTTAAATGTTGGTAATCAAAGTGAAAAACGTGAGAAAGCTTGGGGGCTTTTTTGCTATTTTTACAATTTTTTTAAAGAAAATAAGAGAATCAGAATTTGGTAGACGACGTGTGATAGGAACTAACTTCTTGTCTTTATTCTATCTATAGATAACTCAATGAAGGAAATCACTTCTTCTGATTACATTAGTATCATATCACATGGGTAACTTATAGATAAGTATAGTTGCTTGACAGTGACATGGTACATCAATTCAATAAATCAATTTTAATTTCTAGTACAAATCATACACGTATCTGTCAATTAATTAATGTGTCACGTCCCTATTACGTAACATAAACTAAATGGATGTACCTTTTTTTTTTTTTTGAGAAAATCCTCACTTTTGGCGGAGGAATACCATGGTACAAGAAAAGGGATAAATCATTTACATCTAATATTCGGCAAACTCCACGAGTCGGTCCTTAAAATTTCCCTAAGGCCAAGGGGAGTGTTGTCCCCTTCTTGGATGGTGAAAGAGTTACCATTAGCTCCTGTTTTTGCCAAGTAGTCTGCTGCCATATTTCCTTCCCTGTAGATGTGTGTTATCCTGGCATGGGTGGTTTCAATCAAAGCGTAAATCTCTTCCCATAAATCCCACAAATACCATAAAGTGCATCGTCCATCCTGTGCCCATTTTACCATAACGTAGAGTCTGATTCCACCACCAAATCCACCAATCCCCGTTCCTTGCACATAGGCAACCCATCCCTAAGAGCACGGGATTCTGCCATAGTGTTGGTTGTCACGCCATAATAGTGAGCAAAACCGCAAATTAGACTACCTCTACTATCTCTAATAAGCCCGCCTCCTCCTGAAGCGCCTGGGTTCCCATTTGACCCCCCATCAACATTTAATTTCAATGTGCCAAGTCTTGGAGTGTGTTTGGTATGAATTTTTGGGGAAAGAATTGATTTTTGAATAGTGATATGATGGAAAATATGTGGTTGAAAAAGAAGAAAAAAGTATTGTGATGGAAAATATTATTTTATTGAAGAATGTATGGTTGAAAATGAGAATTGATTTACTGTAGAAAATTAGAATCTGTACCAAACAGGCCCTTGGTCTCTTCCAACTCACCAGCTGAGGTATAACCACATAAAGAGGAGCTACTGGGACATTCAATGTATCCAGAATCTCCTTATCGGACACCTTAATTTTGCGAAACATCTTGAAGGAGCCTGCAGTAGTGCTTAACATCACCTTGATCTGACTGATGACACATCTCGGAGAGAGTTTAGTCCCTTCCATTTGAGCTGCACATCTAGCGCTCCACAAGTGCCAGGTAATAAGTAAAGGGATAATTCCACGTAACATCCCTACCTGTGTATCTTGTGATGCTTTTGTCCACCATGATACCATTTTTCCTTGCCAACAACTAGTATCCGACAATGGAATAGTGCAAGCCCCTGCAAAGAATCTCCAAACCTCTTTTGCCAACTCGCCCGTGCTTAAAACATGGTTAGCATATTATATGTATATGTGCATTGAGATCCTCCAACCATTTTTTGCATTAGAAAACAACGCGTTTTGGATCTACAAATGTGCAAACAAATAAAGTAAGTCATATGTTTCACAAGTTAATTAGTTTTTCCTTTCAAACCAAGTAATATTACTTCAAGTCGAGATTATTTTAAGATGAATGAAATTGTTGATTGTTGAGTTTGTCATTCTCCGATGGGACTATCTTATATGTAGCACATAGTAGAACTGTCCATTCGAATTATAATACCTCGAAACCTGATCTATTCAAGTCATGATGTTTCGAATGTCGAGTAGATCCATCCACCCACTCAATTCAGAGTCGAAGGTGCCAAAATTTGAGAGGACAATGAATTGGAACAAATAACAAATGGGTTCTGTGTAACAATGCATGGCCAATACCATGATTGGATATTAATGTCCCTACCAACTACAAAGAATTGCCGTGCATATTTCCATTGATTTATAACAACGACCTACTGTCCAACATTTATTGTTGCTTTGAGTACATGAACTTTCTTCCAACTTTAAAGATAATTAATAATTTCTATGTCGAAAAGATATTTTGAGAATAATACAACTAACATGTAACACTTAGTCCCTATTTGTTTTAGCTAAAAATAATTTTTGTTTAGTAAA